CTCTTTTTTTTTTTTTAAGATTTTTATTGGGGAATTGGGGGGATGGGAACAGCGCTGGGGAATTGGGGGAAGGGGAACAGACAAGTTGCTGTCATTTTGTTCTTCAGTCTAGTTGTGGAGGACATTGCTTCACTGGCCCAAGTTGGCACCATCATTGTGCTCTTCCCGGGCGAGGCAGATCAGTCGCCGGCTTCTGGACGGCCGCTCACTGCGGCTGCTGGCCGCTCACGCTGGCTGCTGGCTACACACGGTAGCCCATGGCAACCCACTGACATCTCATCTCTTGATTTTGCAATTGTCTTTGTTCATTAGGAAGTGGGATCATCGAGAAAGTTAAAAAGTAGGTGTATGTTGAGCTATAAAACCCAGATGTATTGCCACATGCATGTTACTATTGGGTTGCCGGAAAAGTCATGACGCATTTTTGCAACGAAAACATAGAAAAAATACGTCATGACTTTTCCGACAACCCAATAGATCCGTATATAAAACTGGAGATGATGTGAGATGCTTTAGAAATTTAACTGCACCTCCCTGTGACAGCCTCAGTTCTCACAGATCTGAATGGGGCCTACTTTTCGTAGGTTTCCTGATTCATGGTTCAGCCAGTATAGATACTTCTGTAAGCAGTGCTACTTTATCCATTAACCACCTCCCCCACTTTCTTCCCTCCCCATTTTGGCTTTTTTACTCTGAGTATGGTGCTTTTAACTCTTAAACTATGTTATTTGGACAAGGAAATACCCTGCAGAACAGATGGGGTGCTTATTAGTGGGCTCAATTTACAGCGTTGTTTCTATTCCATTACCCTTCCTGATCCCATCTGGCTCTCTAGGGCCAACCTTGCTTTCTCTTTCACTGTCTACCTCCTTCAAAGCCATAGCTTTTTATTTTTTTTTAAAAAATTCCATGATTAAAAATGTTTGGTAGAAAGATATTATGAATAAAAATATGACTTATAATCCCACCCACCACAGTTAAATTTTGATGTGTATCCTTTTGCTTGCAAACTAATTTTTAAAAATGAGATTGTATTAGAGAGCGATGCTTTCGATACCACCTAGTCTCGAATTCTGGTATAATTATCTACCTGGCTGTATGATCTTGAGTGAATTACTCAAAGTTTCTGTGCTTCAATTTCTTCTTCTCTAAAATGAGATGATAATAATACATACCCCTAGGATTCATAGAAAGCATACATGAGTTATGCATGGAAAGTACTGAGAACAGTGGCAGAAACATAGTAAATACTCAAAAAATGTTAATGAACATTGGTATTTTTATTATATGAACATTATTTTGTAACCTGCCTTAAAAAAAATACTGTGAGGGCCAGTTGAGTGGCTCAGTTGGTTAAGAGCTTGCTCAAGAATGCGAGCTCTGAGCAAGGGTTGCCGGTTCGATTCCCAGCCCGAGCTGAGCTGCCACTGAACTGCCAACAGGTGGCAGAATGGCTCAGCTGAAAAAAAAATACTGTGAATATTTTCTCATGTTAATTATGACTAATACATGACTTTATTGCCTTACCCAAAATCCATTATATGACTGTACCATAATTCATTTAAGCAATGTTCCATTGTCAGGTATTTATTTTCAATATTTTGTTAGTAATAAATAACCCTGTAGTAAATATTCTTGTGCATAAATTTTGGGGCACATCTCTGATTTTTTTCCTGAGACAAATTACTAAAAGTAGAATGCTGCATTAAAAAGAGTATCAGCCTTTCTCAAGACTCTGCCAAAGTGCCCTCCAGAAATGTCTTGTGAATTTGTGTTCCTAAAGTATTAGACAGCTTATTTCCCCATAGCCTTCCCAAGACTAGATATTATGATTCAAAAACTTTCTTGCCAGTCTGTAGTTTTCATAACCCAATTGTGCTCTGTAGTTTCCAGAGTTCTCCTCTTTTCAGGTGTTCTTTTTTTTTTTTTTTATTAAATCCTAAGCCCCTTTTGGGTTGTTTCTCCTATTATTTTAATCTACTATGTTCTCTATCATAAATTTCTGCCCTGTTACTATTCCCAACCTTTTCTTTCCTTTCTGATTTCTTCATACCATTTCCCTTCTACCCATTTGCAGTTAGACTACAGTGTTCCGCTTTGTTCAAGTATGTGCTATAAATCTAGTAGATGAATACCACAGGACAATAGAAACTTCTTTTTTTTTTTTAAATTGAGCCCAAGTCTAACCAAAAATGAAGCCATCCCCTCAAAAGACTCATCTCCTTTATAAAGTAATAAGATCCCTGTTGTGCGAAATGTTTAAACCATATAGATAAGCATCTGAAAGCTATGGAAGGTATTCTTACTCTGGGCAGTGAGCTAGCCTACATACACATCATGGTCCAGCTGGGAAAACAGAAACCACTCTAAGTATTTAAACACAGAGGGAAATTAATTCAGGGAATTGACTACATAGGTGATTAGAGAGCTCAGAAGGCAAAAAGATGGTAAGGCAACACTGAGATTAGTAATATCAGGAAGCGAACACCACCCTTAGACTAAAAGATGGAGGGAGGAACTGGTGGTGTCAGCTGGAGGAACCTGAAGCCACAGTGGGAATGTCTGTTGGGAGCTGGACCACTGAATGCAGCTGCTTCTTACCATCACAGGTAGAATGGGAGGGGAGAAATACCTTGCTTTTCTCTTCTCCCTCTCCCGTCTCCTTCCAATGTCTTCCATTGGCAAATTCAGTTAGAAGCCGGTTGACACAAGATGTCTGTGAAATTATATGTAGCCTGTGGTCAACCGCACTGTGACACAGAGCAGAATAAGGTAAGGGTGAGGAGTAGATGTGAGGAAGAACAGGCCAAGGCCTGGCACAATGACCTCAGGAGGCTCTTCCAAATCCACAGACAACAGGGCAAAGTGAAAAGCATGCTGGCCCTGGAGAGGTAGGCAGTCCCGGGTTTAAATACTGGCTCTGTCATTTACTATCTCTAAGACCCTGGCCAAGTCACTTAACTTTTCCAAACCTCAGTTTCTTCATCTACGAAAAGGCGCAAGAAAAACTGTATTCTCCAGGGTCATTGTGAAGATTCAATAAAATAAGTTGTAAGATAATAATAAGCATTCAACAACAATTGGTTTTCTAAGAATTTATGATATTAAGACAAAGGACAATTGGGCATTTGGCCAAGGTCATTAAGGTTTTGAGAGAAGGAAAAGGGGCAGAGAAATCTTTTCTTTTGGAAGCTCTGCCTAGGGTAGGGTAGGTGATACATTGCCCAGTAATGATACTGAGAGAGGAGCTAACAAACATTGAAAGTATCACACATAACCAATTCACTCATTCCATAAACATTTGTGGGTACTCACTATTTCCTGGAAGAGATTTAGACATTGTCCCTGCACTCAAGAAGATGGCAACAGATGGGCAAAGAGATAAATCACATTGCTTGATGGTGTGGGAATGTTTACAGAGGAGGGAACATGGGGATATCTCTGCCTACGTAAGTGGGAGAAGTCGCTAGTGAAGAGACGACATTTGAGTTGTGTTTTGAAGGATGAGCAGGAATTTTCCAGCTGTAGAAGCACACGTAAAGACATAGAGTCACAAAAGGGTATGGGGTGGTTGGGGAATGGTAAGCTATTCACATGAGTGGGGCCTTGAAGTGTCCATAGTCAGGTGGAGGTAAGAACAAGTGGCAGCTGTGTCTAAAAATGGAAGAGAAAGTCAGCGTGTCAAGGGCCTGGTGTAAGACGCTAATAACTTTCTATACTGTGGGGAATAAAAAAACCAGTACAGACTTTTAAACTAAGTAGTAACCCACCATCTATAACCTAGAATTTCATAAAGTGACACATCTTCCCAACCTCTCTCTGACTTCAACCAAAGGGCTGATGCACGCAGTTATATAAAGCGGGAGCGATGGGTCCATCTCATAAGACATTAGTAAGTATGAATCAGACAAATGAGCACAGAGGTTTTTTTCCCTTAATATTAAATTCAGAATGGAAAAAGTCATTAACTTATCCTGCAGACACAGTCTCAAGGTAAATATTTAAAATCTTCTCCCTCTCATTTCTACAAAGCCAAGAACATCAGAGATGTGATGATGCTGCTTGTGGCTACAAGACAGGATTTCAAAAATTCTGATGAAATGTCTGCTGGCCTGGATTTGTCTGAACGCTGAAAATGACTTTAATGTGATTCCAACAGAAAGGAAAGCACAGGGACCAGCCATGGTGCATTGGTTAAGAGCTGGCTTGGGGGGCAGCTGGTTAGCTCAGGTGGTTAGAGCGCAGGCTTATAACACCAAAGTTGCCGGTTCAATCCCCACATGGGCCACGGAGCTGCACCCTCCACAACTAGATAGAAGACAACTACTTGACTTGGAGCTGATGGGTCCTGGAACAACACACTGTTCCCCAATAAAATTAAAAAAAAAATCTGGCTTGGGACACCAGAGGGCCCCGGTTCGGATCCCACATATGCGGGCCAGTGACACTGCCCTCTACAGCTAAGATGCTGAACAACAGCTCAACCTGGAGCTGGGCTGCTGTGAGTCACCAGCGACGGCAGGTGGGTTGCCATGGGCTACCGTGGGTAGTCAGTAGCCAGGGTGAGCAGCTGTCCAGAAGCCAGTGACTGATCTGCCTCGCCCAGGAAGAGCGCAAGGATGGTGCCAGCTTGGGCCAGTGAAGCAACGTCCTCTACAACTAGACTGAAGAACAAAAGGATAGCAACTTGTCTGTTCCCCTTCCCCCAATTCCCTAATAAAAATCTTTAAAAAAAGAAAGGAAAACACAAAATGACAATAATATAGCCCTTCATGCGTTTCAGAGCCCTGTCACATAACATGATCTCATTCTAGCCTCATGACAATTGTGTGCAGCATATAGGGCGAAGAGTACAATCCCATTTTAGAGGTGAAGAAATGGAGGTCTGAGAGTTTCCTACCTTCCCTAGGGTCTGAAAAGCACTTATACCCAAAGCTACAACTGGATTTCTAGACATGTAGTCCGGTGCCTCCCCAGGCGTGGGCCAGTGCTCTACCTACCTGTCTCCTTCCATATGCCAAGATAGCTTCTTTGAGGTCCTGAAGTGTGTGCAGTTCCAGATCCAGCCTCTTCTTGTGGCCTTTGGGGTGATAGGAGCCTTTTATCCTCTCTTCGGGTGCCCATGCTGATATGGCTAAACCTTCCGAGTAGAGAATCAGGGCGCCCTTTCTAGTGCTGAATGTTTTAGGAAGAAAGAGGCTCCACGTGTGCTGGGTGGGGTTCCCATCATCCTGCGGTTTGCTGATCAGCACATAATCTTCTGGGGACTTCCAGTTCAAGTAATCCTGCAGTGGAAAGAAACCACTTTGATCGATCCACTGTGGACGGCACTTTTATAGCAAATACTGCTTGTGCAACATGTTGGACATTTTCTACTAACTGGTTTCCTCTGAATTGTTCACATGGTGTCACGGAACACAATCACTCTTCTTAGCAACTGATTTTGTTCTCCACATCTCAGAAGTAGTAGAACCCAGGGCATGGTTCTATTTTACCCCATATAACTTTCAGGAGAACCACTCAGGTCTGGAGGCTTAAATAGGGTAGACTGTAGGTTACAAGCCAGTTAAAGTTTCCTGGTATGCAAGTAAGTAGGCAGAATTATCAAGGGTAGCAGCTAACTTTGAAATTAGACCTGGACTAGCTGGTAATTTAAAGAGGAGAAAGCCATTCCAACCCATCACTTCAGCTATACACAGGGAGAATTTCTATATATTCCAGATGCTATGTAACTTTATCTAATTTGGCTATTTAGGGGCCTATAAAGTAGTTACATATTTTGTAAGTAAGTAAATGCCATTGGCCACAGAGGTCCTTTGAAACTCTATATGTCTTTTAATACAGCAAAGGTCAAGTATCACGACAAACTACCATGACAATGGAAATCTCTGTGTGATCCAAAAAGTTTCAAAGTAGCCCCAGTAGATTTCTTATTCCTGGCAGAATTCAGTGAAGTAAAATTTCAGTACAAGGGAATTTTGCCACCACTTTAAAATCTTCTAAAATGAGATATTTTTTTTATTTATTTTTATTTTTTTGCCTATATTAAATATGAGTCCTGTGGGTTGAATTCCAGAAAGTTCAAGGAAGCCATTGAAACGGCAGGAACACACACAGCATTTCAACCACAGAGCACAACTTCTAAAAACCGAATAGCCATCAGCTTGTCTAGAACCCAGGTGGAAATTCGGTCTTGAACCAAATCATCTGAATTCTAGGTAACCTGGAATCTCCTCCAGTCTAAAGCCAACAAGCCTGTAAGTTGGTGTACAAGGGGAAGGAAGAGGGTCCTAGTGACAATCTCTGTGTGTCGGGTAAACTACCTTCTTTTCTTGAGTTTCACCAACGAGGAGGGAAGATCTAGTGATTCCCACCACCTCACTAACAAAACAGACGCAAACACCCATGGCTCAGCCCCAAATGGAAAAATAGAGGGTTCCTCCTTCACGCCCCACCCGCATCCCTCCCTCCCACCCCCCCCAATACACCTTTATTCAGCTGGAAAACTCACCTCTGGTTCAAAATAGACTTCTAACTTCTGTTTGTTCTGGACCAACTTCCCATGTCCCCGGCTCAGGAGAGAGAGCGTGAACATGTTTTCCCTCTGACCGCTCTTCTCAAGGGCAGTTCATCTTGGTTTTGAAGGCTGAAAACTGGTCACACCTCAAGATTTCCTGAGCTCAGCAGGGAGCCCAAGAAGACCACAAACACTGGGCCTTTTATTAAATACATTTCCCCCTGTATAGCAGCTTCTTAATAACAACCAGCCTCACAGTTTAGACAGTGTGTGTCTTTGTCAGGAGAAAAAATAAACCGCAAACCCAACTCCTCAAGCCCTGGATTGTCTACACTCAGGGCAACCCCTCTCTCCTCTTTGCCTGCACCCTTGTTGTTCCCTGGTCCCGTTGCTCTTTACCGGCCTTGTGCACCTACAGATCGGGGCCACAGCACCATCCTTTTTATTGTGAGCGGAGGTTGTTTCCCGGTTGCTATGGCAGCACAAGGAAGGGAAGTCCCTTACACCAGCCTAGACTAGGCGGAGACTGCTGAGGGCAGTGTTCACGCGCTGGGGGAGGGAGGGTCAAAGGGACAATGAGGGAACAGGCTCAGATTTCAAGTCCTGATTGTGGAGGTGGTGGTGGGGGGTGCTGTGTTGGGATATTTATTCTGTTATAGTACTCATCTTGCTTTTAGAGTGTCTTCCGTCTTCTCCTGCTATGTGAGCCTTTCACTGTCAACTCACCATTAACAGACTCAGAATCATCAAGGTCACCTAAGACGACCTTTGATGACCCGTGACATTTTCCTTGGCTGAGCTCCAGCATCTCCTCCACTGAACATGGGTCCCTTTGTGGTAGTTACTGCTTTGTCTGGGTGAGTGCAGTATCCTTTGTATACCTGGTTCTCACCAAGCAACTCCCATCTCCAGAGGGAGGGTACTTGGGAGATGTGAGTGGGGGGCATTGGGTTGTCACAATGACTGGAGGCCACCACTGGCATTTACCAAGCAGGAGCTTGGGATGCTGAATGTTTTGTGGTGTGTGGAGCTGTACTGCATAATGAAGAACTGTCCTACTCTGAATGCTAGTAGCACCCCCTTTGAGAAACACTGCTGTGACCTGGGCTGCTTGGTTCTCCTTGATGCTGACACTATGAGGATAGGAGGAAGAAGTGGGAGTGGGGGACATGTGGGGTGGGGGTAAGAGTGTCAAGGAACAAAAAGATGCTTTTGCTGGTGATCTACTGCCCTGCTTTGGCCTGGAAAAGCAACCTGCCCTGTCATTTATCAGCTGAACCTCCATGGCAGTCTTGTGGGAGTATCCCCTACTGACCTGTAGAAAGAAGTATAACAGGCTACTGGCCCAGTTACCTTTGAGATCTCTCTCTATGGCTGAGACTTTCCCAGAAGGCAGGCTGAAGTCTCATGAGGAAGAAATAGAGGTCATGCTGCATAATTAGGTTGGGTTTCTTGAGGAGAAATCAAGATAGTAAATGCAGAAGCTCAAAACTGAATTTAGTCAAAATCACAATAAATACCATTTCAACACTTATTAGGATGGCTATTTATTAAAACAAAACAAAACAAAAAACCAGAAAATAATAAATGTTGGTAAGGATGTGGAGAAATTGAGACCCTTATGCACTGTTGGTAGAAATGTAAAATGGTACAGCCACTCTGGAAAACAGTATGGCAGTTCCTCAAAAAATTAAACATAGAATTGCCATATAATCCAGCAATCCCACTCCTGGATACATAACCCAAAGGAAGTAAAATCAAGTATTCAAACAGATATTTGAACATCCATGTTTGAACAGTCACAATAGCACAAATGTGGAAACAATTCAAGTGTCCATCGACAGATGAATGCATAAACAAAATGTGATACACACACACACACACACACACACGCACACAATAGAATAGTATTCAGTCTTGAAAGAAAAGAAATTCAGACACATGCTACAATATGGGTGAACCTTGAAGACATTATGCTAAGTGAAATAAACCAGTCAAAAAGGGACAAATATTGTTTGATTCCAATTGTATGGTGTACTTAGTGTAGTCAAGTTCATAGAGACAAAAAGTAGAATGGTATTTGTCAGGGGTTGTGGGAGGAGGGGATGGAAAGTTAGTGTTTAGTCAGAGGGGCAATAGCTTGGGGGAGGGGAGTTATCACTTTGTGAGGGCTGAAATGTATAACTATTACATTGCTTTGTACACCTGAAACTAATAATAAAAAAGAAAGAAAGAAAGAAAGAAAAAAGAAAGAAAGAAAGAAAGAAAGAAAGAAAGAAAGAAAGAGAGAAAGATAGTGTTTAATGGGTACAGAGTTTCAGTTTGGGAGGATGAAAAAGTTCTGGAGATGAATGGTGGTGATAATTGTATTACACTGTGAATGTACCTAATGTCAATGAACAATAAATTTAAAAATGATTAACATGATAAATGTTATGTTATACATAGCTTACCACAATTAAGATCTAAAAAATGATAACAAAGAAATAAAAAAACTGAATTAGCACTTTATAATCTGAAAGCTGATTGGTCAGCATTATTGTGGAATGACCTCCTCAGAGCAAGTGAGTCAAAATCCTACAAAATGAGGGTTCCAAATAGCTTACAGGGGTCTTAAATCACAGTTGTTTCTTCCCTTCCCCTTCTCTGCTCCTTTAACAAAACTTTACTGAGAGATTACTATATGTGAGATACGATTCCTGCCCTCAAGAAGCTCCCAGCAGGGTAAGAAGACAGGTGTATGTGAACTAGTACCTGAAAGAAGATGTGACATCTGTGGTAATGGAGGTGGAGATAAGTAGGTGCTCTAAGAAAAGAGTCGGGCTGTGTATACATGTGGGGTGTGAGACGGATGGTGGTGGGCCTTATAGAAGGCTACAAAGATGAGGGATACCAGAGATGAGCTTTAATGACAGTAGGGTATGGAGAGAAAGGAAGATGAATGTGGATATTGCAGGAGGCATAGACAGGAAAGTTTGAGATCTTTGGGGAACGGGTAACTTCTTTAGTGTGGCCAAAGCCTCAAGTCAGGTGGACAGAGATGAAGCTGAAGAGACAGCTCAGCTGGCCAAAATGAGGAAGGCCACTTGTACCCTGCTAAAGCACTTTGCACTTTATTCTTCAGATAGGTTTTTTTTGAAACAAGGGAGTGACGTGATTCTGTATTGGGTTTAGAAAGAGAACTCTGAGAACAGTGTAAATGATGGCTAGAATGAGGGATGCTTATCTCATAAACCTCTGGGTGAACTTTCAGGACCATGCAACCCAGGCCAAGCTTACCTTGGATTTGAATGAATTTGTCAAATAAGTCAGGAATAATCACCTGTTAAATGGCCTTTGAATGAGACATAGAAGGGGAAACTCCATACCAGCTGCAGTGAAGTATAAATGTTGCCATTTTGAAAATGCAATTGCTCATGAAACTGAGCAAGGTAGCATAAGAAGAAAGTGACAGAGCAACTGGGAAGTTGAAGAGACAGGAGTGAGAACCACTACTGTCAGCCAAAGAATTACTCCATGTTGCTCCAGTAGAAATTCTTCCTCTGAGCTCACCTGACTTCGAAATGTGGACTTTCTCATAAATGGTGAACTAGGCTCCCAGGAAGTGATCTTTCTGAGTTTACGTTGAGTGAGCATCTCACCTGGGAAAATACCCAGGTGCCCACTTGGGTCTCCCAAACTGTGGCAAGGCTACCAGGCCTCTAGGGTTGTAATCTGGGAGCAGCCAGACCACAGCCCAAAGTGGGCCTCTCCTAAACTGTTGTGTTTACATCCATGCTGTTTAATATGAACAATGAACAGATGTACGGATCAATTAATAGACATTTAAAAGCATTTACTCAGTCTCCACAGCAGTTTATGGAAAGTGCATTTAGAAAGCAATCGAGGTTATTGCTATTCTAAAGTGCTTGGGGATCCCAGATGAAAGGCTCTTGTGACTGGAAAGTATTTATAACTCAAGAAGAAACCCTCCACACCCATGCTATATAACACCAACACCATCTCCTGGCATGCCTGACCTGTCAGCCCATGCAGCATGTCTGTTTAAATTACACTGAAAATTCTATAGGGTGGAGACCTTGTTTTCATGGTTTGTAAAGCATCATGAATAACCATGACACTCTGTAAATAAATAGAAACCACATGAAACAAAGAAAAGAGATGTTATTCAATGGCTGTGTCCCTAGTGCATACAGGAATTTATCCCTTGCTCCAAAGTGCCTGAGGTAAAAATGGATGTCCCTCTGGGGAAATGGCCTGTGGGATAGTGTCAGGATCCTCATCCCCCTTTATAAGGCAGTGTGATAGTGTTTTATAGGAATGTATTCACCTGCAGGGGCAGCCTACATGTAGCGTCACTAGTATTGTCCTTGTTACTCAAAGAGGAAAGATCAGTGCACAGCGAGATTAAGTGATCTGCACAACAGCTCAGAGCAAATCTGAAGTGACATGGGACCTTGTCTAAATTCGGGCCTACTCTCATCCTGTTGTTTATCCCACTTCTGCAACAGAGTAGTAGCAACTATTCATAAGAGGCTGCATCATAGTTAATATCCAGCAGTCAGGAAGCTGCTGTGATGAGGCCACCATAGTGCCTTCTTCAGCCATGAAGCTGCTGACTGGACACGAGACCTGTGTCTGGCTGCTGCAATGGCCTCGAAGCTCTCCTATCTCCCTAACTTTGCTTCTCCTCACTTTACTTTGCAAGTCTAGTTTTAAGGGAGTCTAGGAAACCACATTTTCAGCTTTTTAATCTCCTACACTAGAGGGGAGGTGGAATGAAGGTTAATGGAACAGAGCTATTCACAGTTATCTACCATAAGCACCTAAGACAAGTTGTATGAGAAAGTCAAAACAAAGAATTTTTAAATTTTAATTTATTTATTTATTTATTTATTTATTTATTTATTTATTATTTTTTAAAAAGATTTTTATTGGGGAGTTAGGGGAAGGGGAACAGACAAGTTGCTGCCGTTTTGTTCTTCAGTCTAGTTGTGGAGGACATTGCTTCACTGGCCCAAGCTGGCACCATCATTGCGCTCTTCTTGGGTGAGGCAGATCAGTCGCCGGCTTCTGGACGGCCGCTCACCGAGGCTGCTGGCCGCACACGCTGGCTGCTGGCTACACACGGTAGCTCATGACAACCCACTGCAGCAGGGGCTGCAGCCTACGCC